ACAGGGCACCCCAATGTAGACTCCAAAAATACTAGAATTCCTCTCATCGGGACCCCAAACATCGTACCCCTATTTTGATTTTGGGAAACCCTATATGCGCCTATACCTTCCCATAATTTCCCTAGAAAAACCTACACCCTAAACCCATCAACAAGTATGTGGTAGTTGCTCAAAGACCTGTCCCCAACTTGGCCACAAGGTAGTGCTTCCGAGTGGACATTGTGTTCCGCATTGATACCTCAATTTACTTCTGCAAGTAGTTTCCGGTGGTCTGTGGTGCGCAGCCACAAGATTCGTGCAGAACCCTTCAACTCCCCAAACCCTAAACCCTAAACCCCAAACCCTGAACCCTAAACCCCAGACTGCTGCCAGGTGCCTTTGTCAAAGCTCAAGCATGAGAATCCGAAGCTGGCCAGTCCGTCACTGAAGGTCCCACAGCCGCAAAACACGTGAACACACCCTAGTAGCCCAGATACCTATATATTGGGTTCCTGTCCTTAAGTCCCTACATAAATTTATGCTATCTATAACCCAAGGACCTACTATATGTGTACCTGGGGTTGTAGGGACAGTCCACCATTCCATCTCCCGGAACCTCCTCGCGTCTTGCTCGACCTTAGGCAGGAACACGAATGAAACTAGCGAAGAGGTACAGTATGAAGATACAAGGCACCCTCCAGCGTCGCCAACATTGGAAACTCGCTGAGGGGGTATTCTTTGGCATCTGCCAGTGATGAAGGCGGACATGCTGGAATGTAGGGCAGCTGGAGCATGATTAGCGCCAAGGACTTTGAGCCCCTGACTCACATGCACTGCAAGTGCCATGTCTGTGTAGCATGCAAAGTGGAAACTCAGGAGGCAAGCGCACACTAATTGTGACCTACATATGGCAGCGAAAGTAGCACGCCACGCTGAAGGTCCCATTGCAATCACGGCCTTCCTCCTCTACAAGGACCTTTAGCAGGGTTTAGGGTTGAGGCAAACTTAGAGCTTAGCATGGGACTGCTGCACACGGCCTTAACGAATTCTGCGGCCTGTGGGGCCTATCATACAATAAGCATATAATCCCCCTCTAGTAGATAGAATATGGGGTATATGGGGATCTTATGATAATATACCCAAAGACGTAAGGTACCTACGTAAGGGGACTATATACTTGGGGACTCTGGTGCTATGAACTGTTACTGACGTTTTAGGGAGCATATGATAGTAGATGCTCTGGACCCTCAGGGCAAGGCTTCGTGGGATGTAGACTTGTTGATGAAATGGACCTAGGAGTTTGAAGGTTTGCATGGCTCTGGGCTGTGAGGATGCTTAGGGTTTAAGGTCTAGGGTACAGTCAAGGATTTGGGAGCCACGCGATTTAGAGTCTAGGGTTTAGGGTTCACCCTGAACCCTCGAACCTAAACCCAGGATCTAGGATTTATAGGGCATAGGACGGAGGGTTTTGCATCTAGAATTTACACGGCTTTCCCGGGGAGGCTTCGGGCGGTACCTCCAACCCGAAACCCTGAATCCTAATCCCAAAAACCTAAACCCTAATCCCAAAAACTTAAACCCTAATCCCAAAAACCTAAACCCTAATCCCAAAACTTAAAACCCTAATCCCAAAAACCTAGACCCAAATCCCACAACCCTAAACCCTAATCCCAGAACCTCAAACCCTAATCCCATAACCCGAATCCCAAAAGCCTAATCCCGCCTCCACCTCGGGCATGAAAGTCTTGGAGGGCACGAGCGGCCTGCAGATTTCCAGCTGGGGACTCAAGGGCTCAACAACCCAGACCCCTGGGAGGATCTACAAATTAGATCCCCTATATAGACCCATTGTAACCCCTATATATAATTCTTATATAATGTCCCCTATGGTTGTAGGGGATCTAATCTTTAGATCCTTTTGGGGGTCTGGGAAGGAATTTAGGGGCCTGAATAATTATTCGGAACCACAGTTTAGGGTTTAGGCTTTAGAGTCTGACGTGAGCAAAATAATGGCCTTCTACAGATCTGTTTAAACCGGGCCATGATTTCAGCTACTGTCAGGTCTAGGAAATCCTGCTGCTTCATGTGGGTCTCTGTCAATGCAAGCCAATCCAACTTGTGTTGTTGCTTCATCAGCTGAACAATGGAATGCATCTTGCCCGCCCCTAGTAAACCAGTGGTGTTCCAGAAACCTCCAACGAAGTTGGCAGCTGCGATGCCTCAAGCTCCGCCAACAGGCAGCTTGGCAGATCTGGCAGCGCTTCCTCCCAAAACAGGTCTTCGTTCAGAAGGTGCCCATGCCTGGTGTCCAGATGCCGGCAGAAAGCTCGTGGTACTTTCTGCGCCGTTTGCCTAAGTAAGTGATCGGTTCCTCCTTACAGGGCCTCCTTGTCCTCCAGCGCCTTTGCCATGTAGCGGGCGCTCCTCTTGGGGCATTCTTGGCACCCTCGAGTAGCTTCTGCCGAACGCCCAGATGGGACAGGACATGTGGGGATCTAGCGATAATGGTCATAGAAGAAAATTTACAACGATACTAGCAATAAAAATCTTCATAATCCCCTCATACTCGTGTTAAACACCGCCCATATCCCAAAGTGCCCAAAAAATAGTATTCTCTCATTCGGCTCTTGCTAAGATTAGGGGTGGTTGGTTGAGGGTGGGGGGCCTGCTTAATATTATGGACATTATGAAGGTTATCGAGGCGCACATATGTTTTGGGGTGTGGCGCCTCAATATGGAATGACGGAATGCAATTGGAAAATGGAAGACCACATAGAAACTGGGCTGATATAGGGGTTGGCATAAGGGTTCTACTTTCAGGGCCTACTCCATTTCCATACAGTTTTGGAAGCATAGCATACTATAGTTGTGAAAGGCTACCAAGGAGACCCTAAACCCTAAACCGGTACCAATCCCAGGGGATTCTACTTACCCTAAGCGCTAAACCCGTAATACCATCCACCCGAGGACTGGTATTGAGGCTTCTACAGTAGGCTGTTTGTTGTAGGATGTCAACCCCTAAACCCTAACACTAAACCCTGAAAAACCCTGAACCTTAAACCCTAAACTGCAAGTCTTGAGATTTCTACAAGGGGCGTTCTGGGTTTAGGGTTTCGGCGGACTGAAGGCTATTCACGGCCTGAAAATGCTACGTGTAGCACAAGGGCTGTGGGGCTGTTGCGGTTAAGGGTTTAGGGTTTAGTGTTTAGGGCTTTCAGGCATATCTGGCGTAATGTATATTCTGCTGCGTAGGGCAATGAAAAATGCATGTCAGTTCTACGCTAGCTGAGTTAATTTATGAGGAAGCATTGGAAGTACTTTCTCAAGGGTGGGTCAGAGCGTCGGATAGACGCAGATGGATATCCTGCACGGCAGTTGTAGCTAGAAAGCCCAATATCCCTCAATTAGGGAATTTACACCAAATCATACTAGGGTCCCAACTATGACTTAAGGTATGTTCCCTAATTAAATGATATTGGGCTTGCTGGGCAGTAACGAATCAACGCTTGCAGTCTCTGATTGATGCTCAATCCGGAGAGTGGAGATGAGTTGTAAGTTTTGGGGGGGCTATCAAGAACCCAAAGGGTCTAAAAACTACAATCACAAACCAAAGTATGCAATTATTGTATGGTGGGCCGTTAGAGGAAGGACCAATGCTGGGATGCATTCCTCCAAAACGAGCGACCCCTCTCCCCCCTAAATAGACCCCCACTCTCCAAATATCAAGTACTCCACTGGGGTATACTACTTGGGAACATTTAATACTGGGGTGGGGGGGAATGCTATTACGGAAAGGGATTGAAACCTTGAACCCTACACCCTGAATGGGCCCAGGGACTTCCCATTGGGTACTCACACAAAAGTGATTGCTTACAAGCCTTACATAGCAGCTCTTATATAACTACGTGGCACTTAGGATTCCTACTAAGGGTTAACCTCTCAGTACCTATAATAGGAGTATAGGGGAATCCCAATGGGTTGAGGGTCTAAGGTCCAAGCTAGGTGTCAAGGAGATAACTTATATACTACCCACTTAAAGGAGCCGCGCAAAACCAAACCCCGCAACAGGTTCCCATGATAGGTTTTGCTTGGCGGCCCCATAGAAATCAAGGTCTAGGGTTCATAAGGGTTGTATTAGTGGATGAGGGCAGTAACAAACTGCTACACAAAATATGTGTGAACCTATCCTGAACAGCCCACAGTAGTCCCTTCATGGGGCCCCGACTGTCTTTGATGGGTGTCGGGCCCTTGACCCAGTGTAAACCTTAAACCTAAGCCAAATGCGGGACCTTAGGGGCAAAATGGCTTTGGGTATATTATAATAAGATCCTCATATACCCCATATTCTATCTACGAAAGGGGGACTATACGGATGGACGAACGTTTCAGGGGCTTCCCTCAGGCATGTAGGGGATCATGTTAAGAAAGCTCCCGCATCAGTAGTCCGGAACATTGCGGTTTTGGGTCTAGGGCTTGAAGAACTACATGATATTCCGCTTTCAACATGGCAATAGCGCAGTCTTACTTTGTAGTATCAACTACCTGCGCGTATGAGCCATTGTCTAAACTCCTAGTATCCCCCTTAATAACCCCTATAGTAGTCCCCTATATAATTCCCTATATCACCCCCTTTAAGGAGTGTAGACTATAGCTCATATCCTTTAAAGGTGCTCATATCCTTTAAAGGGGGTTATTTAGGGGGTTCTATAGGGTGCTATTATAGGGGTTATTAAGGGGGATACTAGGAGTTTAGACTATAACCCCTATAATCCCCTACATAACCCTGTATATAGCAGTTTCCATTTCATTTTCAATTTTCTTTTCCATTTGAT